TGCATGCGATCAGAAAAAATCAGAAAATTTTTCTGTTAGAAATGCCCAAGATTCTTCTAGTAAAAATCCAATTTGTGATGGGAGAGGTTGCACTGAAGTTTATAATTTTCTTGGGGGAGACGACGAGCAGAACTAGGAAAGAACCAATGTGCGAACATCTTTCTATTGACAAATTTTTTCCCAGGAAATCTTTATTTTTTGAAAAATTTTCAGCCGCGTCAGATTAAATTGCAAATATAATTCTCGGAAAAATATACAAGTGTTCAAGAGATTTTGTGCCTTATATCAGGGGAGCTTCGGCACCTCTTGAATGTTCATGCAGTGGTTTCTCTTAGTACTGTACCAGGTATCGTGAGCATATTTTTCTCGGTAAAAAGAAAAAATAATGGTTATCGTGCCACGTATGTTGAAGTTAAGCTTTTATTTACAATATTTATCCTATTCAAGGAGTGGAGATCGAAGAGGCCCCTCTCCTTTTTGATCAACATTCATCGCGAACAAAGTATCGAATAAATCGGACGTATTTATGCTAAAAGGAACGATAAGCATCTGGTTTGTGTGCAACATAGTTCCTTTTAGCATAAATAAGTCCGAATAAATTGTCGCCCCTCGAAATGGCGTATGTATTTATCCATGTGAGCCCTGTTTTACATATAAATCCATGCTTTTCGGGGCTCATGCGGAAATCGAGATACGCCCTTACGTCAGACGAGCGGCGAATTATCTTTTTGCGTCATTTATCTTGATAAAAAAAATAGAGGCTCCTTTTAATTTTGATAGGCAAACACGCAACAGTCGCATCAATGTCCCATTTTGATCGACTCATTTTGGTTGAGAAAACAACGATTCAGATACGCTTCGGAAGGAAGTGGTTTCGTTGCAACGTAGCCCAGTGGATCGAGTCAATAGGGGAGGTCGGGAGGTCGGACAAAATTTGGAGACTTTAAACCCTTATAACTCCGTTTATACACTCTTTTGAAGTTTTAAAAGTGATACCACTGATATTCTCGTGAAATTGTCTACTATAAGAACATCTTAAAATGTAAAATGTGACGAAGTGAACACCAAACTTTGCAATTTTAGTAAAATATTTCATATCTGGCCTCTCCTATTGACTGGATCCATTGTAAGTAAACACCAAAATTTGCAATTTTAGTAAAATATCTCATGTCTGACCTTTCCTATTGACTCGTTTCATTGTGCGCCGCCGGAAATCAAAGTCACAAGTTATGCTTTTAAGCTTTGATCCCTCAGGCGGCGCGAAGTGGAAGAATTATTCCGAAGCCGTTCTAAGACCTTGATTTTTGAAGGAAATTGGGGGCGACAGTTTGATCTCCTTTGAGCTTTTGAACGCCGCTCGCTGCGCCACTATCCGCACCATTAGACATTAATAATTTCCTTTCTGCAGTCGCTCACTTTTCTGCCTAGCTGTGTTAAGGTAAAATGAGTGGTTTTTTTTTTTTTTATCGACGGCTAAAGAACAATACAATACCGTCTATCTGTAAAATGACGATTTTTCTGGACGAAAAGAAAACTTCGCCATTTTCGTAATTTTGAGATTAGATCAGCATTTTTTCACACATTACAGCGTCATTACAGTGCTCCCCATGCGAAATTGGCAAAAACTAAAATAGGCAGTCAGCTTTCCTGGTTTTAGACTTTAGAATGCGGAAAAATCGCCAACCCATTTTTGCCAAAATTTTCAGTCGGGTGGTACTGTTCTTTAACCATCGTTATCCCAGGGGTGCGATGTGCAAGCGCGTGTGGTGGTGTTTTTGTTTTTCCCCCTTTTATTTTTATTATTTAATACGTTAGATTTTGCGAGAAAAGGAACTTTCGTCTTAAGTAGCTCAATCAGCGCGGCAAATTTTACCAAATTGACAGAAGTATGGTAAATGCTTTCATTAGTCTACTCGATTTGACTCAGTGATACTGAAGAGTGAAGATAACCAGACAACTGAAAACACTTACCATACTTTTGGAGCCATGCGATTAGAATTACGGTCTTTGCTACCATAGAGTCCGTTGGTGATTGCCATAGATACTCACATCACCGGGGCTCAAACCATCCTTCTCAATGGTACATGCGCAAGATAGTTCGCGAATATAAACAAAGACTTTCGAAAAAGTTATATTAAAAGAAAAATAATCATAGTAAATCGCGAAGCAAAGCGACTTACCTCCGCAAGCCTTGTAAAAATCCAATCGGGATACAACAGGACTCCGAAAAAAAATCCTCAGTGCACTACCTCGAAAATTATTTTCGAGGATGAGCCAGAGTGCGGACACAAAATCCTCCCGAACTTTGCGCACAAGATAAAAGTCAAACAAAACAACCTATCTTCAACACTCCACCTTCGTAGCACTTCCGAAAAAAAGAAAAACAATTCCACTCAGAGCCCACCCTACACCGAAAACATCTCGAACGCGAAAAACATAGCACACGGTGTGGGGGGGAGGGGGGTCGCGTAGCGCTGATCAACGTAGCGAGCGAACGGCGCTTACGGACTAGATACGGACCGCGGACTACGGACTGCGGACTGGACCGTACTGATCAGGATCGGTTCCCAGCGGACCGCGCCAGCCGCGAAGCTGGAGAATTTGATAACTGTATCAGACACATCTCTCTCGGTCCATCCGCGTTTTCTTTCTTTCTTTCTGTCTTTCTCCTCCTCCTTCCCCCGGCTCCCGACCATTGGTCAGTCACTCTTCAGTCATTCTTGACCAGCTCTTGTCCATCCATTGCAGTGCCGCGCGCCGGTCGGTCAGGATCAAGAGCAACGCTGGTCATTGTTGCCGATTCAATGAAATAACAATTCGATACCTGGTTGGCGCCATCAGGTTTTGCTACAGTGGTAAATTTTTTTTTTTACTTTTGGACCACATTTCCTTGTTTTTCTCACGGAAGAACGTAAATGCATTTTAATGCGGCCGAATGTCCAAAAATTACAATTTTTTTAAAAGATTCTTCAGCATTTCTAACTGGAAATTTCCCTAATTTTTTCTCTGATCTCATGAAAAAATTAGATAAAATTTGGGGGAAAATTGCATAGGCATATTCTTGTAAAAAATTGAATTTTTTGAGTCAATATTGCAATCTTGGACTGGAATAATGTTTTCGCGTCCGGTAATCCAGGACTGCGCGAAAGGTCTAAGAAAATACACGAGGATTGCGCGAAAGAGGCACAAGGACTGCGCGAATAGAAACCTTAAAATTTGCTCCAGGAATGCCTAAATTTAAAATGAAGTTAATTTAAGGTAGAAGTTTGGCGATACAGGAAACAGTTGGAAAATAAACGGATTTTTATGCTAACGCTGATTTAGGTTAGTTTGTTGAAAAGACATCGACGTCTTACCCTCTGATGATAAATGAAGTGAAAATATTGAAGAATGGTCGTGGGTAAAAAGAACTTTCCTAACTTTTCTCCGAAAAAATATTTCATCAGGAGAAACTAGGCAACGTTGGAATGCTCATTTGGCGTCGAAATACAGCAGGGACTTTTTAAGCTCTTTGATGCCGCGATTATTTTAACGAGAGTTCGAATGATCGCGCTAAACACAGTGCGGCCGTATATTAGCGCCTACAAGACTTTGGGAATACTTCTCGCATTGCGCCAAACAGCATGGTCGGCGTCAAGCCCATATTAGCGCCTACAAGACTGCATGAATACTTCTCGCATTGCGCCAAACGTAGTGCAGTTGTTCTGTTGGCGTGAAACATATATTAGTGCCTGCAAGACCGTGGGAATTCTGTAGGACTGCGTGTTATCATTCTCGACTTTCTGCTCCAGTTTTTGCCATAATTAAAGGGAAAATATGTATCCTCATTGTAACGATTCAGAAACTCGGATGATATAAAATATCGCCTCGAAATTCTTGATACTTTTATTTGAGATTATTTAGGTAAATTCGCGCAAAATTTTCAGAAAAACTATGTGTAGCTTTTAAAAAAAAAATATCTACGATATTAATAATAAAACATAGAAGTGGTGTATAACGTTACAGCCAGAGATAAATATACGGGGGCACTCGTCGGGTTTTGAATTCAGTAATCCCTCAAAAAACTTAAAAATGGTTGTTTTATGATTTTTTACGTGTAATTTGTTCAGTGCTAGGCGGCCGCGTAGTGGTAAAAGGCCCTGAATTCACTTCTTAAATATCTAAGAAAGCTCCTCGGGTCATTCGTGCTGCGAGGGCTATCCATCGAAGAGAGACATGCCCTTGAATGAGGAGAGAATGAACAGTATTCCGTGATGTAGTTATCTACCACATACTACCACGGTTGCCAGATTAACGCTTCCTCGTTGAATATTGAATATTCGTTTAGACATGTGAGTTTTTAGTACCAGGAAAATTCGCGCAATCCTATGCATCTTCAAAAAGGTAAAAAAGGGGGCAATCGCGCGACCCTATCGTAGCCTATGCGTCTGGGACACGACGATTTTACAATGAACGACTATTTTTGGCTAATTGTACAAAGAACATAATTATGTTCAATTAGTTTTCCTACGTAGATATATTTCATGTGCGGGTGAACCAGAAATATTGCACTGCAGAGTGTAGGCAGTCCACTTAATGGAGATCCATTGGCCTGAGAATAATCATTTCTTGTTGACAGTTATCAATTCTGTTATCGGTTGAAGACTGAAAAAGGAGGGTGTTCAGCTCAGGAAGATGTATTAAGGATGTATTAAGATGTATGTGTTTTTGAATAAGGCGAAAATTGTTGGAATTTTTAAGCCTTGATTTCCCCGCAGAATAGTGTGGATCCAGTACTATTTTATAGACCTATTTCCCAATTTGTATTCCATGAATTAAGCAAAAGAATGTAGGCTCTGTTTAAGAGTGAAGCACCGTGCAGGATATTGACATCTCTTGATGATACTTTTTAGGTTTTTGAATTTCCGCCCTTCGATTAAGGCTGCGTAATCAAAACGCCGTCGGCGTTTCCTGCATAGATGCTGGGAAAACGTACATTGCTCCACAAATAAATGTAAGCGTTTTGTTTTTTTAATGATTGTATTTGCTATCAATAATTAGAGGATTGAGTAGGAAAACAGAGGTAGCATCAAAATTATAAAGAAGAGTTTAACATAATTTACTGCAACACAAGGTCTGCACATAATACAAGGAAAAAATCCTAAACTAATTGTAAGTAACAATTGCTACAATGAGAATGCTTCCTGGCCTACCCCGAAAACTGAAGGCGAAATAACAATGTGCTCAACCTCTATAACTCTTTCTCGTTAATTATGATGTCTTCAAATTTCCGGTCAGAAATCGTCTCTGTCAGAATAGAGAGTGAATCATAATATCAAATAAAAAGATTTCAAGGGTCAATAATTTAGATGAAAGAGAATTTTTGGGATATTTTTTTTACCGAAACCACGTTCAAATACACAGCCCCTGAATTTTGATGGAATAAATTGATTTTTAACATGTTTGCGTAGTATTCATTGATCAAGTCAAATGAAAATCGATATTCCAAGGTAACTTTAAAGGCTCCAATGCTGTTTTCAGGTGTAGTTAGGGGATAATGCACATAAGTAACTTGGAGCTAATATTTAAAATGTATTCCTTGCAAAGCTTCTCTCGGTTTCTCCTTCCTGGTAGGATTCTTAAAAGTACCATTGAACTTAAAATTTCAGCTAATCCGAACATGAGCGTTACCAGAATGTAAAAAAAAAATATTTTTTCAAGTCAAATCTTTGAGAGTGAGCGGATTTTGAAGATTTTTTTCTTGCGAATAAGTAATTATTTCTGGCTGAAAAAACTTACTACTGTATTATAAAATATAACTAAAACTAGATTGACTTCCAAAAACTTCTGAGTCACAGTCTAAACTGCCAAGGAACTCAACTTCATTTTCAAGAATAGTTTGACGTTGGATTTTGAAATTCAGCCTCAAGCGTTTGAATACAAGTAAAAACAAATACGCATATTACAGGATATTCAACGAGGCGCATAGCTCGGAACTAATAGTTTTCAAAGCGTTATCGTTATAAAAGTTTCTGTTTCGCCGGCCATTTCCACTCTCCAGCGCGGAACGATGCGCTCGGTAAATCAAAACTTATATTACAAAAGACAGCACCATCCATTCTTAGCCATCTTCTCCAACCGAGTTTCTCCTCTTTGACTTCCTCGTCTCGATCGAGGTTATCCAAAATGTAAGCATGAATGAACGTATTAATGCTAAAAGGAACTATATCCACAAGGTTTACCTTGCGACATGGTTCCTTTCATCGTAAATGCATGTAATAGGAACTCATAATTGGATCACATTCTGCAATATGGAACTACTAATTCTGGCCCATTTTAGAAACAACATATATGCCATTAGTTTCCCTATGCAGGAAGGTGCAATGGAAGAGTTAGAGATAGTGGCTCCTTATTGCAAAATGTAATCCAATTAGTAGACGGACAATTTGTCGAGAGGTTAAAAGCTGAAGAGGCAAGTCGCAAGGGATTAAAAAATTGAATTTTCGTGTGAAATTGGACGTATTTCTGCCAAACGGAACTATGTGCATTATGGCATGAGCCCTGTAATGCATATATTCTTATGAGTCTTAGGCCTCATGTCTTAATGTACATAGTTCCGTTTGACAGAAATACGTCAAATTGACTCTGTGTCCTCTTCTGCATACTACTTTTTATACTGTTCAGATTTGAATAAATACATTCTAACAAATATAAGTGGAAGATGGACACTGTAGTAAAACTAAACAGTATAAAATGACTGATCAACTGTATGGCACATTGGTTTGGTTTTTATTTTTGTCTGCGAACCATTTGCGGAGCGATTTTCGGTCCAGGAGGTCCCTCCAACTTTCCATCCATTCAAACTCATGGCTGGAGTAATGTTCACTATTGTCTCTGTTGCAAGCACCGTCCACGCATTTCCAGAATGGGAACATGCAACAGCTTGCACTCAACCGGCAGTCCTGAAACACGAGAACATTAATTTCAATGGTCAATCTGCGCCATCTAGCGGTCATCTCTGTTGATTGTAATCAGTGTCATCAGATAGAAAGTACGGATTCCAGCGCCACATGCCGATCATGAGACACGTAATTTGCAAGAGGCTGTCAATCAGAGCGTTAGGGAGAGTCACGGGGTTAAGAGGAAGAATCAGGTCGCTATTTTGGGCTGGTCAATCGTAGAATAGCGCTGCGGAGAGCCATAAAGGATGGCTGTTAGATAGATCGCATTTAGCAGAGGGGAACCAAGTCACATCAACTTTTGCCATCCAACCGGGCAATTTAATTTTTCAAAAGAGAACGTTTTGAAAATTTTAAGAAATTTGCTTGGTAGTAAGCAGATAATTCATTGAAATTCGAACAAAAATCTGCACAACCGTCTTCATGTAAGAAATTGAACTGACCAATTTTTGGCAATAGCTGATGTGTCCCGGTTCCTTTCTGTTTCACGAGGTCCAAATAAACCGAATTCAAAAGAAACCACCAGTTTGCATTTTGAGAAGAAAAAAAAATGAGTTGAGAGTAGTTTTAAATTCAACCAATCTTGCATTTTCTCGTTTCTAAAATTCAAAATTGAGATAAAATATTCAAGACATGAAAATAATCATTAAACTTTGTCTTTGACTTTCAGTCTTTTGGAAGAACAAAACTTCAAATTTCTTTTTCTCGATTCCAATTTGATGCGACATGGTGCGTTTCCGTTGAACTCGATCTAAATTGAACCGATTATTTTCCAAACCACGTTAGCGCCGAAATTACGAATGAAAATGAAGTGCAAATGAGAACAAAAAAACCCCCCGTCTCATTAGCTTTGTTGACAATTTCCAAATTCCAAAAAAGTATGTTCTTATAGAAGGTTATTTTGAAATCAGACACGATTGATTATACCAGAGAAAACAAAGGAAAAACAACCCCTATACCACTAAAATAGAGATTGGCGCATGAGTGATTTGGAATATAATCGGTTCACTTAAGCCTGCGTATTATAAACAGCTCGCTCCCTCGCTGATGAAAAAATGAGTAACAAATGGCATTAACATTTACCTTATTTTTCATTTTTTAAAAGGAGGAAAATGGACTTTTGCCCAATTAAGCGATTGGTGAACGGACACATTTACTTCTTTTTCTGTTGGATAATTCTTTCTATGATCTCATTGGCTCCCCTTGTGTTTACGACAGTAATTGCGTAAAAACAAGTGCCCGCCCGACATAGAACATTAGGGTTGTCACAACATTGAAAATGGAAGACGCATTTCTGAAACAGAACGAAATAATTGAACGTCAATAAAAGGTTTCGGTAGGAAGCAAAAGTTCCCATACAGTTAGTAAAACGATTTTCCGTCTCAGGGCACGGCGGGAAAAAGAATGCCGCATACTCTGACCTTATCAATTGAATGTTCGAATTATTTATTGTCTGTTTCAAAAAGCGACTAAAACGAAATTTGCCATCATTGTTTCAAACGTTTTAGTACGTGGGTTTTATAAAAGAATCTTTAAAAACGTGCTTTACTTTATACTATCGCCTGGAGAAAAATAAGCCAAAACAATTTAAAATATAAAATATCTAAAAAAATGTAGACGGATTATTTGGACTCATTCCCCGTTTCAGACTCATTTATAGAAGGACATATCTGCATGTATAAACCAATGGCAAACGAGTCGTTTCTAAAATGAGCTACAATTATAGTTCCAAATTGCAAAATTTAATCCATTCGTGGTGAATAATAAGTTAGGACACAACATATAATCCAAACCATCTTCTGGAATATGGAGCTCTCCTTTAATGATAGTGTTTGTTTTGTTATAGGGACTGGTCATTTTGAATTTTCTTTTATCAATATTGCGAAGGCAGCAAAATAATGATCTCAATTATAGTATAACTGACTTAGCGAATGATTCACGTTATATTGATATGTTTTCCAATATCATAGGCTGCCATTGCTTCTGCAATCTCATGGCGGAGTTGCTCCACGACCTTTTTATTTCGGACGTAGTCCTCTAACAATGCGTTGATAAATTTATCCATTTTTCCGCGAGGCGTATAACAAGTGCCTGCACGACATACTACTTTAGGGTGGTCGCAACATTCCCCGGCAAGAACACATGCCTGAACACAGAAACAACATTCCAATGAACACATACCTTGAAACAAAAAAAAGTAGATTTTTTTTTCTCGTAATGACTTACGAATCATTACTCTGTTGACAACACTTCATTTTTTCCACAAACTGATTGCGTTAAAAATCAGCAAACTTCATTTTTGTCGTAAATTTTTGCCTCAGTAAAAATCTGCAAGTTAATTACTACACAAGACTTTCAAAGCTTCCTATTTCAAGTAATTTCCATATTTTCTATCTATTAGCGGGTGAGAATGATAACGTTTTAAATAACTGAGCCTTTCAATGATTTATTTTTAAAATGTTTCTCTACCAAGGGGCTGTTCATAAAATACGTAAAATTGAAATTCGGATCTTCTGAACCCCCCTCTCCCCCGTAACTCACCCGTAACACAGATCTACATCCCCTAAATTTTAATAACCCTCAGCTCGACCCCTTCCCCCTCTGATCAGCATTTTTTGTAAGTTTTAAATGAAAAATTGTCACTTCGCGTTGATTTTCCATTCTACCTTTTAGAAAATTGGCGCTACACGTCAATTCTAGCGGTACCTAACGCAGATCTGAATGTTCCTTTCCCCATGTAACGCACCTGTAACGCAGACTCGGACATCCCGCTTCTTCCAGAGCGTTACGTTTTTCATGAACGACTCCTAATTTTACTGGAGATAATCGAATGGATTTCATAGGCTTGCCTGTTCATGAGTTGTCAGAGGCTCGGATATACATCGGGTGTATGATCGATGTGTCATGATTTCCAATGTCATAACTAGTTACAATGAATGAGACAAGCGCGAGTTTGCTTTATCAATTTAAAAACTCATAACAGTGTCCATGATGAGTTTTCAGTCTTAAAAAATAGACATTTGATAAAAATTTATTTCCCCACAGTATTGACTCCATATCGAAGTTAGTTCCTTAAAATCACAACCAAGTTTATCGCTCAAACACTTCATTCTCCACCAACAGAAACAACCTTGCTAACTTTCCAAAACGAACTGAATTCATGCTGCTTCAAACGCCCTTTTTTGTGCAATAGACATACGCCAAAAATGGGGACTCACTCTCCACTCTTAAATTATTTAGGATCGTATTCTTCGTGATTCTTTTTTATCGATTCTCGTAAATTATTATTATTAACTAATGTTTCCATGGATTTGGCGGCTATATTCTCCAGTTTCCAATTAACTGCTCTTGGCTGCACACACAAATTGGCTCGACAGACTATCCGCGGGTGGTCGCAACACTCCCTAGACTGATCGCACGCCTTGAACACACAAACAAGCAACAAACAGTAAACAATCAGCACATTTTCTTCCGGATTTTTGTGATAAATGTCTACAATCCAACCGAGCAATATTTATATCAGTCGAGTTAAGAATTGGGAGAGCGAGAGGTCTGGTTCGATGGCCGGCAAATTTTCCCTAAAAATCAATACTAATGGATTTGGATTACTTTTTGCCCTCTTCCCTCTTCTCTGTCACTCTCATATGGACATCTATCGATGGTCTACTTGCAAAACAACGTACCTCTGTTTGCGACGTGGCAGACTCCCCGTCATGCTTTATTTATTCTTGGTAAAACTAAGTAACAGACTTTATCGAATTTTTTTTTTTTTATTCCCCTTTTTTTGTTGGCAAAAAATTTTGCATACATTTCGAACAGAACACACGGCTTGTTTCTCCTTGGAAAAATGAAATAGGAGCGGTAACCCTGAAAAAATTGAAGCAATGGAGATGCGTGGTTTCGCACTTTGGTCATCGCTATTCTATCATATGTACCAAGGAAAAACGCCATATGAACCCTTAAACGTTGCCAAAATTCCTTTGATAAAGAACGTACTTTTGAGGAAACTTGAAATGTTTTGCTTCAAATTTTTCTAAGGATTTTATGAGCAATTTAATTTGAAGTATATGAAACTTTCAAGAAAAGATACTCATAATTTTTCTCGAGAATAAATATTTCATCACGAAAAATACAGCAACTTTTGAATGCTCATACGATGTTTTTCTTCAGCATGGCAGTAGACTCTTACGGAAACGAGCCAACTTTATTGCTTGAAAGAACCTTAGAATATTTTTCTAGTCTAGTTTAGAGGTTTAATCGCTGAAATATTAATGGAAGTAAGAATAAAAATGAAGGAAGTCTTCGACGTCGTAAACCAAATTTTGAGTTGAGCCATCGATGTTTGTTTGCCTCCTGACTCACGTTGAATTTTCTCTGTATCCACGGGTAAGGTCCTTCTGAATGGCTTTTATAAGCCTTTGCCGGAAGAACCATTCTTTGTTACTACGATAGACCACGCTTTCCATAGCATCGTTGTACCTCTGGTCACACGAATGCACACGAATGTAACAAGTCCCCGCACGGCAGACGACATCAGGGTACTTACAGCACTCCCGATCATTGGTGCATGCCTTCAACACACAAACAAACATTGACACATCATCGGAAAATTTAAACCGGCGCATACATATATCTGAACATTGTATGAACTTCTCAAAAGCACCTCTTTCATGAGCTGGAATCAACGTGGTTGAATTTTTCATTCCTCCATGAATAAGAATTCCTATACACTTTTTTTTTGTTCAAACAAGTTTTAGATGTCTACATAAAACCTGTAATTGATGTGCGTGTTGCATATTCAAAAATTGAAGGCGTTTCCGCTTTACAAAGCCTAGACAGGGTTGACTGTAGCGCAGCGCGTTGATGTAATTCTTCGTTTTCCACGGATGTGCATGTTGCATGTTCAAAATTGAAGGAACTGTCTTTTTTCTTACTTCTTTAACTTCTTCTGGTGTTCACGGGACTCACCAGTTATGACAATAGGGGAGTACTCATTTAGATAGAGTATTGCCAGTTAATAACACGAAGCCAGAGTATCTAAGGCCGATTATTGAATCGTTCTCTCCTAAAAATACTTAAGTGCCAGAGAAAAACACACGAAATAAAACATTAGAAACGGTAGTAATCGACCCGCTTTAACTCGTGGATTACTTAAAATAATGTGATTAAATAATGTATCGCTGTAATATTTCAAAACCCTAAAATTTACAACAAGTCGATTAAAACATTATTACTTTTTTCTCGTATTTTAATTTCCAGCGTTTAAGTCTTTTCAGACTGACCAATTCAAATCGGTTATTTTATCTCTCTACCAATACTATGCCAATTAAGATAATAACAGAATAGGAAAGTGCTTATGATCAGTGCATCTTGATCATTTTACAACACACATAATTGCCGCTATCTGCTTGGTCGACGAATTTCAGGCTATCATGGATTTTCTGATTTCAAACTTTTGAAATATAGTAATTGAACAAAATTTGACAGATATTTTTGCCGAAAATCATCCTTTCTCTGTGAGTTTCATTTGTCGCTTATAAAACGAATTCCAACAAATTGGTTTTGTTAACTCGGATACCGGATTGGTAAAAAAATTCCTAATTTTTTTTAAAAAACTTCTAAAATAAATTGAAAAAAAGAAAAATCAATTGCAAACTTTATTGAACTTAACTTAACTTACTTGAACTTAACTTGTGAAATTTTATAAATTTTATATTGAGTTTCACTTGGATACTTTTAAGTTTCGTTGAAAATCTTGGGAAATATTTCCCAGAAATCGGTCAGTGGGAGACATTCGTCGGTTGCGTATGGATTGCAGCGAAAATTGATAAAACGATCAGTCCGTTCACCGTTGTCATAATTTCGAGACTTTAGACCGGCTAGTCCTCGAGCTTATAGGCTATCTAGTTCCCAGACTGGGAAATTTTGCCAACGGGGCGCAACACATAAGTTAATAGAACCAACCGATTGCTAACAATTAAACAACAAAACTATGCATGCATTCTCATAGCAAATAGTTGTAAAACCCATAATCTCTTAAAACTCCAACCAACAGCCCAATAACAACATTTCCGCGGTTTGGTTTTGAACGTGGGAACCTCAAAGTCCCTCGGGAGTAGTACACAAAACGGTGATACTCACGCTCAAGAGAGGGACACAAGCGCTGGAACCGCGAGTCAAGAGGAAGAGCAGGGTGAGAAAACAGAACTCCAGGAGGCGCAAGGGATGATTGCGAACAGGGTTCATCTTACGAAACAGATCACATGAAAGAAACTCGATAGCAGAAAATTCGTCGAGTCAAAGACTGAGGGCCTTTATGGCACTCCACTCGCCATCCCGATAGACATCTCCACCGATTATTGCATCGCTCGGTGGGCCTGTCTTGTGGCTCTTCAGTTACCTATCCCCTCTCCTCCCTCCCCTCCAAGGTTGGCGCGATTTCATTGATAAAAGTGTCACCCATTCATGTAACTATAACGCAGTTCAATCCACTGATTCGTAACCTAATTATGATTTGATCTTGTTCTAACGCTCGTGCAACAGCATGCATCAATTAAAATAAACAATATCCTCAAAACATTTTCCCCCCAATTTGAGCTCTTTCGTTCGTTCCAATTATCATGGATGTAATACTTCTTCTATCATCCTTCTTTAAAAAAAAAAAATAAAAAAAATGAATAGTCATTTAAATTGTTCGAAAAGTGGACGCTCAAATTGTGACTTACGTTCCATCCTTAGATTCATTGCAATCTTGAAGTATTTGCTTTCATTGATTCTCTTATATTATTATTCCGAACTTGATTTTCTATGTATTCGGTGATTCGATTCTCCAGGCCCCGAACCGCTGCAATTGACTTAAAACACGAGTTGGCACGACATATGAAATCAGGAAAGTTGCAACAATCCATAGACTGGACACGATCCTGTAACAGAGAAAATAACAGTGTCCGATAAACAATTAAGTTTTATTCAAGGGAAATTTTCATATCCATAAGTCTAGTGTGATCAATTTTATAATAAGGATGTGCTATGGTTGTAATTATGAAAAACTGGGATTATTTTTCCTTTTTTTTTGGGGGGGGGGGAGGCTGGGAAGAAGGAGTCACCTCGTTTGCTAAATGACATTTTCGCTACGAGTCAATCTGAATGAAATTGGATTTGGTTTCAGTGTCAGTGATTCAAGAGAAATTTGATGAGGGACCAAGTATGGACTAGACGCCATAAATGTGTTGTATCTTTTTTAGAAGAAGGACGTTACCCAGAGGAAAAAACAAACATATTTGCATAACACATTGGGGACCTACCGGTAGAGTTTTCTTATAATGTATTTTCTGTTCAAATGTTGTATATTATAAGTAGTATATACTTACGTTGCATGTAGCCACACATCAGTGATTAACACAAAAAAATTCGTTCAGTTTTTTTTTTCTTCAGAAAAACGTCTCTTAAAATTGAGAAAATATTCAGGATCATTTTGACATCTAGTTCGTCACTCCTTCTCTTTTTAGTGTATGGACTTTTAAATTCCTCACGGATGCATAAAAAACGATACTTACGCCAAAGGGAGGGACACAAGCTGCATTGGAGCTGTTGATACACAAAAAAGCCACCAGGCTGAATTCCAAGAGTCCTACCCAATTGTGGCAAACATGGCTCATCTTGAGGGAATACACAACAAAGAGCTTGATTCAAAAACGGCTTTTTTCGCCCCCCTCTGGAAGTTCTTCAGACTTTGTCTATTGATTACTCATACTTGAGCGCTTCTAATCCCAAATTTTCAGACCCCCAAAAAATTTTGGGGGGGGGG